GGTAATAGGATGTTTGGGGCCCAAGAGACAGGCTACTTTCAGGAGACACCTGTGTCCCCAGTGGTCTACAGGATATTCTGTGTTTCTCCCACACAGGAGAAATACTGCAGTCAGAAAATACCCTGAGGTCTTTCTTCTATTAGGACAAGGTGGCCCAGCTTGCCCTGGGAGGGGCCCTAGTCTCCAAGGCGCTGAGCTGCAGCCTCTCTCCCCTATAGAACAGTACCAGGCACACAGGGCTATAGAAAGCATCTTTCATCATTGTGCATCTTTTATACAGGGCTCCATGCCTGGCATGAAGGGGATAGGCAGAGGGGCCACATGCAAGACACTGAGACTCTGAGGGAAGGTGAGGAAGTAGGAACCCTCTGTGTGGTAAGAGACTGCCTGAGCTCAGGACACCAGGCTTCCAGGGCCACCAGCAGCTGGCCTCAGTCATTTTCTACACTCTGGTTTTAGACCCAGATTCTGAGTGATCTTGACAGTGAAAGGCAGAGAGGTGACAAGGGCCTGAACTCCCAATAAAGTCATCTCAAAACTTCTCCCCCCAGAGTGTCCCCAAGTTGACTGAGCCAGAACTAGGCCTTGACTTTGACCCCTCCCTCTTATTCCCTCCCCCTCTCAGCCCAAAGAAACCTCAAATCCTACCAACACTGAAGCCTGACACCTCTCTGCACCCCCACTGCCGCCACCATGGCCCAACCCACCATCACCTCCCATTGGATGGCTGCAGTCCATCTCCCAGAGATCCACTAAATCACAAGTCCGATCATGTCACTTCCTTGCACAATACCTTTCAATGACTGCCCACTGCTCTTGGGAAAACAAACCCAAACCTGGATACTGGCATCACCTACCAGGCCCAGCATTTCTTGGCCCCTGAAAAACCCTCTTGACTGATTTTAAGCAGTTATTGTCCCACATCATGCCTCCGCTACTAAACAAAGAATCTGAAAGCCCACCAGACTCAGAACCAGTAAAAAAAGTTGAGCTGCTCACTTTGACTGGAACTACCACACATGTAGTGTGTGTGTTGTGTGCTAGTGTTCATGTGGAGGTCAGAGGATAACCTGTAGGAATCTGTTCTCTCATCATGTGGGTTCCAGGGATCCAACTTAGGTTGTCGGGTTTGGTGACAAGCTCCCTTACCTGTTGAGTCATCTCCACCTGCCCTGTTGTAAAGTTTTTAGATGCCTCTGGTAGCTGTAGGTTCCATCTCTGGATAAAGAGCTGTTGCACTTGCCATAATCCACCTGTCTGTAGCACAGTGACTCACCTGTGTATTAGTGGCCTGGCTGAGGAAGGAATGAATAGAGGAACTAGCATGGAGGAAAAGCAGGACCTTCAGGAGTCCTGGGCCTGCTGTCAAGCCAAGATCTACCTTTCCTTAACAGCTTGGATCATTCAGGTTTGAAAGTCACTGAATCAATCCAGCCCTCCTCTGCCTGGTTTCCCACCTAGGACATCAGCTGCCCTGACTCGGGTCATCTCTTCCCTTCCTACTCTCCATGCCCCCTGTGGCTCCAGTCCATTTCCCACCACACCCTCTGAGAATGGAGCTGTAATCAATTAGTACCATAAACCTAACTTAATTTGCATTTCGGCTCAGCTCAGGCAGTGAAGCCACTGGAGCTCTGCAGGTGGCCTTGAGACACAGAGGGACTGCCCCACCCCATCCCGGATTCTCCCTCATACTAAAGGCACAAGTGGCCAACCACTTGTGGAGTGCAAGAACAGAGGGTTGTGGTGTACACCAAACCCAACGTCCACTGGAGCAAAGCAGCAGGGAGAAAGTCCTTCCTGTTGCACGGATGGGTTCCCGTTCCTGCTCTCCCCTCTCCCAACAGAGGTCATTGGTTCAGTTTCCCTTTCACTTTTCCCTGTTCTGTCCACACCTGTTTACTGGTGTGGACTCTGAGCCAGAAGGCAGCATTTCCCTTCTTGCCAGACCAGGTGGAGGCCCATTCAGACCAAAAGCAAAGCGGTATCCCTTCCTGGGTTTTGCTGCCCACAACTCCTTTCAGAGCTCTCAAGCAGTATAAAACCAAAAAGACAGGCTGGAGATAGGCTGACTGTCTGTGTGTCTGCGTAAGCACACAGTGGGAGTCATGGATAGTCATATTTAGCGTTTGATACAATGGAAAAGAATGAGCAGTAATAAACAGTAACGACTACCTTTTAGTGGGCCTGTACCACACCAAACACATTGTGAGCTGTTTTATACACAATTTTTCATTTAATTCTCATAACAACCCAGTGAGCTAAGCATTTATACAACCATTTCTTGGATGAAGAAAGAGCTCAGGGAATCACATAGCTCATGAGAGGTCGAGCTCTAGAGCTGAGATCCTAATGTTCTTGTTCTAGACCACTACTGGGACCTTAGAAATTGAGTTCCTTGAGCTAGAGAGGAGAAAGGGACAGAAATCCATGTATGGTGTGGCAAACGGCTTGAGATGAGACATAAAGAATTTACAGACAATGAGGGCTGTTTGGTTGTAGTCAGGGTAATTAGGGTTGTAAAGGCTTTTCCTCCCAGGGCCTTTGCATCTAAGATGAATGGATGCCTCTAAGCCTGGGTGGTTTGTGGAAAGCACTCAGTTCCCAGCACGGGGCTGGCCTGTTTGAACTAACAGCCTCTTGCCCACATAACCGTTAGATAACAGGAAAAGATAGCTCAGAATGTGTGCTCGAATGGGTCTGGAAAAAGGCAAATGTTACTGACAGGCAGATGCCACTGTGGTTAAAAGCAAGGGCTTTGTGGTTGCGCAGACTTATTTGCGTCCCTTCCTGGCTCTACTACTTATGTGACTTTATGTGTATTGTTTAACCTCTCTAAACCTGCTTTCTTAGTAAAAAGAGGCTACGAATAAACTGCACTTTGGAGGGTTGTCCTAAAGATTAAATAAGGTGATCTGGGTAAGATACTTGGCTCAGAACTGGAACATAAGACCTACAGTAAAACTAGGCATGTGACACGCGCCTGTAATCCTAGCACCTGGGAGGCTGAGCAGGAAGCTCATGTGTTTAAAGTTAGCCTGGGCTACATAGTGAGAATTTGTCTCAAAAACAAAAACATATAAAGAAAAAAAAAAAACCCATACAATGAGTGGTACCAGTATAATACTCTTGTTGTTGGAGTACAGAGGCTGAAGAGAGCAGGGTATTACCTCTATACAGGTCAGTAGGCAACTCAGAAAGTCTTATGGGGAAACCTGGGTTTTGGCCCCATCTTGAAGACCTAGTCAGATGTAGTCACAGGAAAACTCAGGACAGAGTTGGACATGGCTTATGGAACAGAGGTTTCAAGTTCTCTATCATTTTAAAAGACAGGTCAGGTTTGATCTGTAGTTTATGGTTTAAGTACAGATTGAAGTCCATCATGGGGAAGAGGTCTATGTCCTTGTTTCCAAACTCAGTTTGAATAAAGATCTATAAAGTATCCTTTGCCTGCTTCTGGGTTCTTATACGGGTTGGAGGGAGGGTCAAGGGCCTGGGAACATAGCCAAGAGCAGAACCAGTGATGGATGGGACAGGACCCAAAACAGGGGAAGTTGGGAAATGTGGGTGAGGCCCCTAATGACGGTAGGGCTGACTCATGAGGGCAGACCTAGCTTGAAGGCTTCCTTGAGATCTAGCATCCTGTCAGGCAGGAGGCCAGCTCTGAGACCCTGAGTGACTCTAGTCTTTCGTGCTGCCAATTCAGGCTGCAAGACCCCAGGGAAACAGTCTAGCTGTTCCCTGGCAGCCTACCCCATCTCCACAAGTGAAAATAAATTCCTGAGGGGCCAGGTAGTTCCCCAGGAAAGATGCTGTTCTTTCTAGATGCTCTCCACTCAACCCTCTGTCAAATACCATCTACCAACCTCTATAGCAAGCACCAGGTGGGACCTTGTTACCTACTGACAGGGTCTCCCTGTAGCCCCAACTTTGCTTAGAACTCATTATGTAGACCAGGTTGGACTTGAACTCACAAAGAGTCCCCCTGCCTCTGCCTCCCAGAGTGCTGGGATCAAAGGCAATATGCTACAAGCACACAGGCGATTTTACAGGCAAAGCAAATTTGGAAAACCCTGAATAATACAATCTCTTGCATGCCCTTCAATCCTAAATATACAGCAGCATAAAAAAAGGGCCCATGTTGGTAGTAAGTATGGATTCTGTGGGAGGGACCCCCTAAACAGGAAGGGTGCTGCAGGGCAGGGGGCAAGACTCCAGAGACAACAGGGGACCTAGAAGAAAAGAAGTGGGAATGAACAGGAGCAGCACTAGGTTCTGAGACCTGGGACCTTCTCTTGCATGGCCTCCCCAGTCCTCGCTATACATCAGGGGATACTTTAGGCACAAAGAACTTTCAAAGCATGCCCAGATGGACAGGGACACACACACACACACACACAAACACACACACACACACACACACACACACACCCCTCCCTGTCTCCGTGTAGCAGGGCCCTTGTGGCCCTTGATGTTGGAGCACCGGTATCCCTATCCTGTGTCCCTGGTGGCCAGGAATTCTAACATTTCTTTGAATGTGTTCAGTTCATTACAGGAGTACAGGAGAGAGTCAAAGCTGGGGGTGGGGCCGACAGGACTGAGCCCTGGAGGTGAGGGAGACTCAACTAGCAAGGAAAGCCGCATAACGGCTCACAAAGTGCAGGCGACTTGAGGGTGGCATCCAGACCGGTGGCCTCGCTTATCAAAACAGCTCACACCTGTTGGGTGTACCGATGGCTCTGAACCTCAGCTCCACTCCTCAACCTAGGAAAAGGCGGGATGCTAGGTGACATCTCATTTCTTTTTCAGCCGCTTTGGAAAATTCGTTGTGTCAGAGAAACTGAAAGACCAAACAAAACCCCTAAAAATCCAGGCCCTATTATTTCATCCACGTGGCACAAGAACTGGCCAAAAAGGGGGCGGGGGGCGGGGGAAGAGTCACCCGTCCCGCCCCTGCTGGGAGGAAGGGATTTGCAAGCACAAACTCCTGACACAGCCCGGCGGGTGACGGGGCGCGGCGGGAGGGAGGGACCCTGAGAAAAGCCGGGCCACAAAGCGGCCGAGCGCGGTCCCCTCTCCCCGCCCCCTACCCGGGCCGCCGCGGGCCCTTTAAGGGCAAGAGGTGCGCGGTCTCTTTAAGGCAGGTCCTGGTGGTTTCTGTTTTCTGAAGGAAGTGACGGGGGGTGGGATTGAATGAAAAGTGCAGAACAGAGCCCCGAGCTCCGGAGTCGGGGCCTTGGGGGCCGCGGCGGGGCGGGGGACACGCACGGGGAGCGCGGGGCGGGAGCCGAGGCGCGCGGCTGATCGCGGCCCACGTGCGTCCGCACCTCGTCGTGGGACCCTCGCGGTGGAGTCGGTGACCGCAGGGATCCCCGAAGAGGACCCCCAACTTCGGACGAACTTTGCGGGCTTGCCTCCCCTCCCCCACGCGGCGCACCGGGGCCCCCGGGGATGCGGCGCCCCGGCTGCCACGATGTCCCCACCGCGCGTCCCGCGCTGCCGCCGCTGCCGCTGCTGCTGCTCGTGTTGTCGCTGCAGCTGGGGGCGCCGCGCGGGGTGGGCGCGGGGACAGGAGCGCCGGCCGAGCTGCGGGTTCGCGTGCGGCTGCCCGACGGCCAGGTGACCGAGGAGAGCCTTCAGGCGGACAGCGAAGCCGACAGCATCAGCCTCGAGCTTCGCAAGCCCGACGGCACCCTCATCTCCTACACAGCCGACTTCAAGAAGGTGAGGCACCCTCTCATGTCCCAGGTGGGGACCTGCCAGCTGAGCCATCGGGGGTCCCAGGCACCCTTGAGTTTGCAGAAAAGACCAGCGCCGCGATGGGGACCTGACTGGTCCAAGGTCATGCCAGGCTCCTCGCTACATCTCACTGCTCACTCAGCAACACCCAAATTTGGGCCCTCATTCCCCTCAGTGAACTCCTTAGCCGTCCCCTCCAGCTTCCTCCCCTGGGTTGTGGGTATTGCAGACCCTTCTCAGGCCCTGACCAGGTTCTGTCCACCCTTCCTCCTCACCACTCCTGGCTGACCCTCCAAAAAGACATTCATGTTAATAATGGCGTCCCATCTTGCAGCAATTTCCCTGTGACTACAAGGGGAAATCCACAGGCACTGTCAGAAGCCTTGGTCTGTGTGGTATGGAGCAAATCCCTTTCCTTCTCTCTGCATGGCTAGGAGGTGATTTGAAGGCCCAGGAGCAGCATCCCCTGATCACTTTACCCTGTAAGGTGGAGGGGCAGCTGGAGAGCTTGGAGCAAAAGAACCTGGGGAGAACTGAGGGAAGCTCCAAATGAGGCCCCCTTTATTTGAAGAGGTTGTCACACTGCATCTCAGCCCAGTGACTGACAATGGAGCTGACCAACTCCACATTTGGGGCCTCAGTCTCTCTCTCTCTCTCTCTCTCTCTCTCTCTCTCTCTCTCTCTCTCTCTCTCTCTCTCTTGTGTGTGTGTGTGTGTGTGTGTGTGTGTGTGTGTAGGGAGAGGTGCTGGAGTTATCAGGATATGGGATTCAGAAGGGTGCTGGGTGACTGACAGCTACCCAGCATCCATAAATCTCGAGGAAAAGAAGGTGAATGAATTTTAGGTATTCAAAGGGAATCTCCTCACCTCTGAATCTCAGCACTCAGAAGCCTGATGGAGGAGGATCACAAATTTAAGGTTAACCTAGGCTACAAAGTGAGAAACTATCTGGAAAAAAAAAGTTTATTTTATTATTTTTATTATTTTATGTGTATGCGTGTATTGCCTGCATGTAGGTAAGTGCACCTGTGTCGTGCAATGCCGGCGGAGGTCAGAAGAGGCTGTCGGATCTCCTGGAACTGGAGTTAACGAACAGTGGTTAGCTGCCATATGGGTGCTGGGATTTGAACCCAGGTCTTCTGCAAGAACAACCAGTGTTCTTAACCGCTGAGCCATCTCTCCAGCCCAGAAGTCTTTTAATCACACACTCTCAGCCCTTCCCTTAGTAAAAGGAGGCCCTGCACCCCTCTATCTTTGAGGGAGGACAGAAGTGAGACGTATTAAATCTCTTGGCAACTGACAAACTAGGGTCCAACAGCCACCTCTCCCTCCTGCCTCTTAGAAACTGGGAGGAGGGGACAGGATATGGGGAGCCAGCTAGAGACCCAATGAGATTGCTGTAGACAGCAAGGGTAGGGGGAGATACAGTGTTTGGCAGAATAGAGGTGAGGCTGGATGGAGGATCTGGCCCACTAAGTGGTGATCAACATAGCAGGAAGGAACAGTCACAGTCGCTGTAGCCCCTTCTTGCCCCACACACCCAAGCTAGGTTCTTAGATGCAGGTAGGGCAGATGAGCCTGTATATGGAGAAAGAGAAGCTGGCAACTCGGACCACCCCCTGCCTGCCCACCTGAACTGCAGGGGCATTTTGTCAAGCATCTTCTGGGCTTGGAAGACCCACAGTAGTGGCTGAATAGGTCAAGAATGAGGGATCTAATCTTTACTCAAAACCCTTTGACCTTAAAAGCAGCCACTGACTAGGCTGTAAGTGTCCCACCCTTCTACCCACGGGCCCTGAGACTTAAAGGGAGACTTGCCCATCCCTGGGCAAGATGGTCCCAGCAGCCTAGCTAAGACTGGGTAGGGCTTGAAAGGCAAGAGCAGAGCTGAGCTTTTCTAGCCTCAGGCTACACCTGGAAGGTTTTTATTACTGAGAGAATCAGCTGGAAAGCAGTGGAGGCTATGACTGGGAGACAGGAATGGTGGAGGCTGGCACGGAGGTGGGAGACTGGGGTTGAGCTGAGCATATGGGGGGCATCTGGGTGTTCTGTTGAAGGGAACATTCAGAGCTGATGGCAAGTGCCTCACTTTAATCCCCATAGTGGCTCAAACCTCCGCCCAGGTTTCCAAAGTCTGCTTTACAGGTTAGCCTCTGACCCAGAGCTGGCATTTCACACCCACCCCTGGCATCTCCAATTTCATCAGCAAGGGAGGGGGTTGTGGGAGGCACAGAAAGTAGAAAGCCAGCTCTCTGAGGTTCCCTCTGATTCCAGGTCTTTCATCTGGCCTGGACCATGGTGAAGTGGGGTGCACAGGGACTAAGGAGAACAGTGTTTACCCTATTTCAGCACACTGCCTCTACTGACCAAAGTCACTCTGGGGCCCCCGTCCTTCCCACATGGGTCACTAGCTCACATCTCAAGGCCTCCTGCCTCAAAGCCTTTGGCAGATTTCCACTGGAAAGTTCTGTCTAGAAGTAATAATTTTTCTGTAAGAAAAAGACCTAGAAGTTTTGTTTTTGTGTTTCATGTACCAAAACCATTCAGGAAAAGTCCTGAATCCTCTTGGGAATAGTGAGTTTTTTGTTTTGTTTTTTTTTTTCTTCCCCCATATGATCACCATTGGGAGAGATAAGGAGACTGAATAGGGCAAGCCTGGTTTACCACCCATGAGCTGGTCAATCCTGGGACAGCTGTTGGTTCTCTCTGGATTTTTCCTTTCTTCATGTGTAAAATATGTTAATAATGGCACCTATCCTGAAATCACAGGGAGAGCTGAGGATGGAAGCAAAGTGCATGTGTCAAGTGATCAGGAAATGAGGATGCCCTCACACTGCATCTTAGCCAGCATCCTCACTGCTCAGTTTGAATGCAAAGATGTTGCATGGTAGACAGGAGGTTGCTAAGGAAGTCAACACAGAGCCTGGAAGAGCCTTGAGTCCTTTGTCATTTCTCTTTCTCCCTCTCTCTTTCTCTCTCTCTCTCTCTCTCTCTCTCTCTCTCTCTCTCTCTTTCCTCAATATATGACCCATGTTGGCCTTGCTCTTGCAGGCTAGGCTAGTCTGGGACTTTTGGTTTTTTTGAGATACAATCTCAATCTTACAATCTCACTATGTAGCCCTGGCTAGCCTGGAACTTGGAATGTGCTATATTGACCAGGCTGATCTGGAGTTCTTGATCCTCCTGCCTCACTCTCCCTCCTAAGAGATGGGATTTCAGGTGTAAGCCACCATCCTAGCTACACCTTCTCCAGGAAGCTACCAAATTGCTGGCCAGGCAGCCCCTCAGGACAAGAGCAGTCAAGCTTGGGTTGGCCAAACCCAAGGCCTCAGTGACACCCCTGTGCTGGATGCATCCCAGCCCCCACACAGCCCCTTCTCTCCAGCCCTCCTCACCCTCCCAGGTAGGGATCCAGCACCATCTGACTGTTCCCTACCTTGCCTGCACCTTGGCCCTGAAGCCAACTGAAGCAGTCTGTTATCAGTACACTGTGTGGACACTGAAGCCCATATTTGGCTGGCAGATCCCATGAGCGGCATGGAATGTCATATAGTTTCTGGAGCCCTTTCTCAGGCTGACGTTGATCAGGCTGACTGAGCTGTAATTCTGAAAGAATGCCAGTAGGCCATGGCTTGATGGCTTCAAAGAGTCACCTGAGGAGTTTTTCAGAATCCCCATACCTGAGTGGCACCCATTACACTGAATCAGGATATCTGAGCATGGGAGTCAGACAGTGGGGTTCTTAAAGAATGCCAGGGGGTAGCCAGGCACACTATCCCTGGGCATGCCTGTAATCCCTGCACTTGGGAGGTGGAGGCAGGAAGATCAGGAGTTCGAGGTCATAGGAAATTGAAGAACAGCCTGGATTACCCCAGACCCTATCTCAAAATAAACAAAAATGCAAACAGAAATAAAAACAGAAAAAGAGGACTGAGGATGTGGCTCAGTTGGTAGAATGCTTAGCTTGCAGGGAGCTCCAAGTTCAATCCCCAGCTCCTCATAAACTAGAGTGGTAGACTCCTCTAATCCTAGCACTTGGGTGGTAGAGGCAGGATGAATAAGTAGTTCAAAGTCATCCTCAGCTACACAATGAGATAGAGACCAGGCTGGGCTACATGAAACCCCGTCTCAAAAAACAAAGAAGGACCTGTTGTTCTCCCCTCAGTAATCCTAATATGTTTTTCCTGCCTTTGGGCTTCTTGGTGCTGGGGATTGAATGAACCCAGGGCCTCTTGCATACTACCACTGAGCCACACTCTGCTCCCTTCCCTCCCCAGTGTGCTGTAAGCATTGTTTATATTACACTTTAGGCCTAAATCTATGTACCCTCTACACAGGAACTCTAATTCCTATTGTATACAATGAGCAACACTCCTTATCATCCAGACTACATATGTAATCTGACCTACATGTACACAAACACCCGGGCACAATAACAGCAGGCATGCCACCGTCCAGTCTCCTCTGGCTGCTTATAGCTTTCTTGGCTCCCTCCTCTACGTTGGTGCTTCTGTCCAAGCTCTCTTTTGCCTTTGTCCCCCACTCTCAGTGTCCTAAAGCTGGGGAAGGGATGAGTCATGTTGCAGGCAGCCTGATTTGGGGCTGGCCGGATGAGGAGGGTGGGGCTGAAAGATATGAAGAAAGTCATGGGGGACATGAGATGGGGGAAAGGAGCCCTATTCTAAAAGTCAAGAAGTGGATCATGGGGACCCATGGGCTGGAACCTGAATTGGGGAGGATGGTCAACATCAAGAGCTACGTAGTACTGTGACTCAGCTCAGGGTCACTCCAAAAGGACAGGAGCCCAAGGAGATTAGAAACTTGCATCCTTTCCCGGGTACTAATGGGTAAGTGGGAGCCAGAGGAAGAAACTGTCTGGAAAGAACCTAACAGAGCCTGTGAGATGTAGTCAAGGAGGATTTTCAGAATTCACATGGATACCGCCCAAGGGTGTGGGACACAAGAAGCTGTTATGGTCCAGTGTC